TTGACCAACCAATAAAAAGCCACAAATCAGCAGTGTACAGAAGGACATCTGATATCATTCACCCACAAGATCATCTTTGCAGGATGTTGTGCTCCTTAGGCAGATACCGAGTCAGCCTTTTCATCTCCATAACATCATGAGACCAATTACTTATATTTGTAGTAATTATTAAATGATTTTCATTGACTGAATGTTTTATTAGAGAGATACTAAAATGATTTACTAATGGAGATTAATTGAAGAATAAAGAAAATAAAGATAATTATACTTGATGATAATTTTAAAATAAGAATAAAATCATCATTAGAAGATGCAATAAAATAAATAAGATATATGAGATATGATAACTAAATGTGTTATTTTTCATTGCTGAAAATTTAACAATATAATAGACAACATAATTCTGTCCTTATGAGGAGTTTCATTACTCATAGTAAAGTTTTGGTGCAGAGAAAGAATAAGAGAAAAATTAAAGGATAAGAAAACATGGGAGGATATTTAGACAGAATTATGAAAACTACATTTTTCTATCACAGTGGATTTCTGAGGGAGAAAATTGAAGTGAAGAATCCTTCTAGAAACACTGTACAAATTCAGATAACATGAGAATATAGGCAGTGATTTTCTGTAATTAACTTCATGAAATAAAATTTTCCTAAGTGTCAGGAAAACCATTGTCTCACATACTTTCTAATATTAAATATTCATGTTCACATTATCATATAGCATATCAAAAGTTTTCTTAAATTTCTATTCACAAAGCCTGTGTTCAATATAAATACTGTATTTATAAATAGCTCTTATTATACTGTGTATACAATATACCATATTTATTTGGGGTCATACATGACTTATTGTTTGCATTGTTAATTTTTTGAAATGTTTTCCAGAAACTAAATCCAGAAGACAAGATATATGCTTTAAACTTAGTTTGATATGTTTTTTTTTTCTTAGTCCGGCTTGTCGAGAGGAACAGAACTGCTAAAACAAATCAAATCTACACACACACACACACACACACACACACACACACACACACATACACACACAAGGGATGTCTTAGAATAGTTCACAGGTTGTAGCCTAGGTAGTCCAATGGCTACCAATGGAAGGCTCAAGAGTCCAGGAATCTTTCAGCTCACAAGGTTGGATGTTTTAGCTGGCTTACAATATATACTGGAATCTCAAAGAATTAGTCTCTAATACCAGTGAAGGAATAAACTTGCTAGTCAGTGTAAGGGCAAACAGCAAATAGAAAAAAATTCTTCTTCCATAACCTATTTATAGGCTTCCAAAACAATGTGACACCCAGATTAAAGGTTTATTTTCCCACCTGGAAGGATCTGGATTGAAGTAGGTCTTCCTACTTTAAATGACTTAAGAAAAATTTGTGCACAAAAGTTAAATTCTTTTCTGTTTACTTTTTATCATGGGGTTTTCAAATTTATGTACCCATATGCATCTATCAAAACTTAAAGTTACATGCTTTCAAATGTGATAATTTATTAATCATATTCAGAAACTTTTATGTCAATATTTGTTAAAAGCCAGATAATTGAGGCCTATTTAAGTTACAAATGTCAAATGAAAACATGTCTTGCTATTGTAGATTTTGTTATAGTTTTCCCTTTAGATATGTAATACCTGAAGGGTTCTAAATTTTCCTATTATTTCTATGGGACAGTTAGAGTTAAGTTAGCTATGTTTTTTATGAAGCAGAAATATATCTCTGTTAGAAATCATTCTCCATGCTACCTGCTTTTATTTATTAGGGTTAGCAAGATTTCTCATGTGGATTTCATCATTTAAGTGCAGTTTTGCCTGTAATAAAATTAGACATCCATTAGTAGAGACAGAGACCCACATTGGAGCACCGAACTGAAATCTCAAGGTCCAAATCAGGAGAAGAAGGAGAGAGAGCATGAGCAAGGAACTCAGGACCGCGAGGGGGGCACCCACACACTGAGACAATGGGGATGCTTTATCAGGAACTCACCAAGGCCACCTCTACTTCCTGCCTGGTTGCCCCACCTATACTTCCTGCCTGGCTACTGGCCAATAAGTGTTTATTTAAAATATAATTGACAGAACACAGATCATTCTCCCACACCAAGGAAAGGGTGTTAACTTATCGATTAGAAAGTTAATTTTTTGAATTATATATTTATTACTTTCTTCTTTAATGATGTCTTGATTATGCTGTTCAATAAATAATACTATTTTGCATGTATTAATATAGCCCAATATCTAATCCCAGTTGATTAAAAAATAATAAAGCAATACAACAGGTATTCAGTCATATAATGAGTTATGCATAATTATGCATTCACATGAAGTTCAAAAATGATTGTTAAAGATATGTGAATAAACAGGTTTATACTGAAGAGTTACAGGAATACTAGTAAATACATATATGCTCACCACTGGTCTATGGCAGAAATTTAAAAAAAAAATTCTCAGCATCCCCCCCTCAGTTTGCTTTCTGTAAATTGAAATATATATCAACACTGATATCATGTAGACTTTTAAAGAAATACATAATTAAAGAACTTAGAGCATAGTAAGTGGTTGGATAAATGTCAGTTAGCATTATTGCTTAGCTCATGGAGCTTAACAAGGTATCTACTCTATGCAATTTGAATAAAACCTACCAAACATCATCCATTTATTTGTAAATCACATAATGATTAAAAACAGAGTATGAACTCTGTAGAATTAATCTATTGTAATTACATGATTCTTTTGAATAACATTCTAACTACCCAAAATTTTTAGACTGCTCTCTCTTCTACAAGGGAACATTATTTTTTTCCTCTAAATATTTAACCCTTTAATATGGATTCAGGAACTATTGAATTGTTAGTATCACACTGTAACCTAGTAGAGACACTTAGATATCTCTGAATTTTTTTTAAATATTTCTTTGCTTCTGGTTCAGGAATACATAGCGTAAATGACAGTATTAACCTATGGCTACTTTCCATTGTAAAGCAAAGATGTCACATAGATAGAATGAATCCTTTAGAGTTGTGTTTTCTAATATATGGGACTGGAAGGCCAGTGATGGAAGGGAAGTGTCCTTTGGTAGAAAGATAAATTCACATCTGTCATACTTGTAGTGATCTATTTCCCATAAGAAATAATTTGTGAATATAAGCACATTTTATATATATATACTGTCCTGATAGAAAACTGTTAAAGTTTTTGAAAACATATTCAATATCGTAGGATTATCAAGAAATTCCAAATTAAGACAATAGTGAAACTTCACCACAATCCATTAATAATGTCCAAATGTACACAACATTGATCATGGTAAGTATTGGCTAGGAACAAAACACCAAAACTCAGATTGTTCCTACTGCTTCAAAACACTGACTATTGGGAAACATGGCATTTACTCATCAAAGATACAGCACCATATAGTTTGAAATTTACCCAAATAAATTGCAGTCATGTGTTGACACAGATTTGGAACACATGTCCATATGGAAATTTTGTAGGTCATTCTTTAGTTTCTTTAGCAATAAAATGAAAAAGCAACTTTGGTACATATGCACAATAAAATATTATTGAGCCCTAAGGGGAAATGGGCTTTCAAGCCTAAAAAGAAAAAGAAAGAATCTGAACAGCACACTGCCAACTGATGTAAAACCAACCTGAAAAGATTATATACTGTACTTCTCCATTTATATGAAGTTCTGTGTAAAGGCAAAGCTTGGGACTTATTAAAATAATTAATGGTTGATATGAGTAAAGAGCAGTAGTATGGCCTATGCTAATAACATTTTCTATCTACTCTTTAAAATATACCCAAGTCTGAATTCTATTTACACTTATAAAGGCTGATCACATTCAATGTGAGATAGTTGTACATATACATATATGTACATATATACAATTATACATATATATATTCATTCTGATTGCTATGGTAGAGAATCAAAGGTATTTAGCTTGACTCCTTAAGCTTCTCATTATAAATCTGTTCAATACTTTTTCTCTCTCCCCGCATTTGATGTCACTTTAAACACAAGAATAGTTGTTATTTTCATTAACGTTCCTATGTCATTTGATCTTCATGCCTTGACCTGAAATCTACTTTCAAATTTTTAAATCCATTGCCTCTGTTTCCTAATTTAGGATGTATCTTATGTTGTACTTCCTTAATAAAGGCTTTGAGGGACCTAAGTCAATTTTGTTTTATGCCTCTGTCTTCCAAGTACCTTGCAGTTTTCTCTATGCTATTTATCTATTTTATATCTCTTTATTACTAACTTTCATCTGAAGTTCCATGATTGATCTATTTATGTTTTTAATGTTTCCTAAAAAAATAAATGCCTTGACTCAATGATTTCTTTCATGTATAAGTAGAGAGGGCTCACAATATGTACACAAAATGACATAGAATGAATTTGACTCAAACTATTGAGCATCAGAATATCTCTCTGTGTTTTAAGGAAGCCACTACTTTTTCTTCTAAGATTCATTGTTGTACTTTTAACTTCATGATTTTATGACAAATGTAGTAAGAATTCAGAATTTTTTTCATTCATAGATCTCATTGAAACATTTTATGAAGTATTTTATAAATATGGTAATTCAAATTTGGTCATCTAAAAATTATATAGTACACATATAATATTATATATGCATAGTATATTCCATATGTCAAAAATGTAATATGAGGCTTAATATATATATTAATATATATGATTACACATGTGAGGCTTTTATAGTTAAATATTTTCTTGTAAGGCACAAATATTCCTTAAGATATATCAGTATCTATAGCACAAATGATAAAATCCTACAAACCTAAATTTGTGTTCACTATCTCCTTTTTAAATATTTCAAACTATGTTAAAAGAATGAGAAGAAAATTAAATTGACTACTGTTCTAAATTAATGAAGTATTTTCTGTCTTCCAAGAAATATGATTGCTCTGACGCTGTTTCCTGGTTGACTGATGTGTCACTCTTTCATGTTTAATGTTCCAGGAAGAACCCTATGTCCTTTTTAAGAAGTCTGACAAACCTCTCTATGGGAATGATCGATTTGAGGGCTACTGTATTGATCTCCTACGAGAGTTATCTACAATTCTAGGCTTCACATATGAAATCAGACTTGTGGAGGATGGGAAATATGGAGCCCAGGATGATGTGAATGGACAATGGAATGGGATGGTCCGTGAGCTAATCGATCATGTGAGTACCCTTTTCCACTTCCTACCACTGTTGGATGATTGTTGTATATATTCAAAGCATATATTTTTGTCACTAAAAATGAACAAATCCAAGAAGAATCTATATACCTATTTGAGAAAGATGTCTGCACTAAATTATTTTGGATTAAGTGGTTTGATATTAGCTGATAGCTATTCTTAATTTTTCTGTCATGATGTGATTTCCCAAAAGTGAATTCATTTCCACTGTGCTAATTTCTAATAAGCAGAGAATAAACAATGTAAATTCTAAATATTTTATTTTAGGGCAGGATACTTTGAGATAAAATCATTGTACCTATGTGGATAGAAACATAGAATAAAATAATGTACAAAAAGAACACAAGCAATTTAATCATAAAAATAGATGTTTTAGCTGTCTTATTCATCATTTGACTTGTTTTCATTGACAAAATAGATGTTCTTTAAAAGCCAGAAAATACTAAATCAGAATTAGTGTTTTAAAAGATTAATTTATTTTAAATATATTCTTATATTTTAGAACATTATATGGCATTGTATTTCATTTTATATATTGTGAAATTTGTTTAATTTGAGAAATTCCATAGGAAGAGTCATAATACAACTAATATTACAAAATAAAAATATTATTACTAAGGTAAGAAGCATAGAAAATAATGAAAATAATTATCTTTAAAAAATTATTGTGTTGTTATGTCTGATAACATAAGGGTAGACTCCCAGTTACTTAGGAGGATGGGGCAAGAGGATCCCAAGTTCTAGAATGGCTTAGGCAGCTTAGTGAGGCTCTTTCTAAAAAAAAAAAAAAAAAAAGCAAAAGGAAGTGTGGAATAAAGTGAAGTGGAAGATTCCTTGCCTAGCATTTGAAAGGTATATGTTTAATTACCAATACTAAGAAAAATAAAATGTTAAGAAAAGAACAATATGAACTGTTATCTCAATAAATCTCTTACCAATGCAAATCAAATCTGCACAGATTTTTCTCATCATCATTTTATATCAAATTTTACTTTATTTTGTTTTTATTCTTTGACAATTTAATACATGTACATAATAAATTTTAATCATATTCTTTCCTTATTCTCCTATTACATACCCCTCCATTTCCTGCTAAAATTCTCCTTTTCAAATCTAGGTCAAATAAACGCACTAATCAAATCCTCTCTGCTCTTTCCATATTTTCTTATTTTTAATTGTTTGATCCTCTTTGTCTAATCTAAGTTGTTTTCACAAGCATGGATCGAAAGTTATTTATCGGAGCATGGACAACTTATCTGTGGCTACACCCTTAAAGAAGTTGAAACCACTTCCCCTCTCATACAATAACTGCTCATAGACATGCAGAGAGAGGTGGAGCCTCCTAGATCCCTCTACTAACCTTGATGACATAGATGCCCCATCACTTACTATCAACATTTTTCTTGCTATGGGATTTTGCGTTAACCACTGCTTATCAACTTGCACATTATTTATTAACAGCTCTTTGCTGATATGTATTTACTGTTACATAAGCTTTCTTTCCCAGAGGCAGGGGAAGAATGGGTTTGCTTTGATCACAAACTGAATAACAATACAAATAAATTATTAATTTCATTTAAATCATTCATATTTCTCTTATTTGCCTAGGATTTACTAAATAATATTCCAAGTTCTAGACTTTATCATCTATTTTTCAGAAGTTTTGCATGACTAGGATATGTATTTTAATTTTACATAGTCTTTTAAAACCCACTAAAATCTTATATTCTTTTTTCATATTGCAGCCAAGTGTGAAATATTAAACTGTACTGTTATTATTTATTTAATATTTGTTATTACTATTATTTACTAATTGTAATTAGTAGCTTATTAGTGACATAACTGGGACTGTTTAAGCAGAAATGATTATTTATTGTTTTTCTTCTTTGTAAAGTCAGGGATAGCAAATGGACCTGGTGTGGTTCTGTCCACAGCATCAAAATGTAGTATCTACTTGTGATTGCTTGTATGTTCCCCTGAATATGCCATCAGAAGGTCTAGATTATCCTATCAGAAATTCAACAACTTCATCCTTATTTGTAAAAGTCTTCAAATTGTATTTATTGTTCTTTCTTAGTTCCTAAATCCAAAGATAAGTATTTTGTGAAAAAAAAGAGATATTATGAGTAATGGGTTTGTGTGAAATATGTAACTCAAGCAACAACCTATGATTCAATGTCAGTTCTCTTATAGAACATATAAATTTTACATGTAGGAAGTAGGTTTGCAAACAGAAATGAAGATGTTTATTTCTGAAAATAGGTGCTGTAACTTCTCCAATTGCTACAATGTGTGTACTCTGTAGAAATCTGTGAGAATTTATTTGGTTAGAATATAGAAATTTTACCTCATAGACATTTTAAGATATATGTTCTCTCTCTCTCTCTCTACATATATACATATATATGTATGTATATGCAATTAATACTTTTGTAATTGGACACTGTGCGATTGAATTATGAAAAAACCATTTTTATTAGTTTTCTATAATTTCTTCCTTTATAGATTATCTGTATATATTTTCTCAAGGAAGTCAGAGTCAAAAATAGTGACTAGGAGATAATGTGTTAGAGTCATAGAAAATGGCATACCATACCAAAACTAGGAGTGAGACACACAGCTTTAGCTCAGTGGTGTGATTTCTGACTAGTATGCACAAGGATCTTGGGCTCACACAGGTAGAAGCAGCATGCACACACTTACATACACACACACACACACACACACACACACACACACACTGAGGAATATGTGGACATCATTACTTTTATTATTTCTCAAAAAGTATTTCTTTTAATATTGAGACCACTGGTATATATTCAGGATTTTCACTCATTTTACTCTTGCTGTCATGACTTAATTTGTTTTCTTTTTGTCACTAACAAGACAACAGTCTACTTTTACATACTCATTTCCATGACTTCCCCATGTCTCTGTTTCCCCTAAAGCCGTGGTTCTCAACATTTCGTGTTCATATTAAGCTAATTATAGTCAACATATGTTTTCTTTCTAAAATTTTATCTTAGCTTTCAAATTTGCGGACATGCACACTTCTACCCAGTTTAGTAATTCATACTGGTAACCAGACTAGCATCCCTTACCTCCCATTGCTTATTTTTCGTTTATCAGGTTATACTCTGTGAGCTTGATTACCAGATTTATACTGAACTTTCAATGTTATTTGTCTTCATCTGTGAGTTTTACATGTGTCTTATTCCATTTACTGTGTTTTCATCATAAATCTGTCACAAGGAGCTCACAGGCAACATGTCCCAAACAGAATCCATCTTCTATCTTCCTTAAGTATAGGATTTCTGAGGCTTCTCTCTGCCTGTTCATATTATAAAAATTCAATACATTTTCCAGCCTAAAATTTAGTAGTCATTTAAAAATTATTTCTCAATTCTTCATACCTTATTCAGTATGTCTCTTAAGTAACTCAGAAAGCTTACCAACTCTGTCAATGTTAATATTTCAGCATAATGATATTTCCCTTCTAATCCATCATCTATATTGTGTTCTGTTAGTCTTGTTACAGAAAGAGAAATTTTATTATGTCTATCCTTGCTTAAAGTTTGTCATGAATTTGCAATGCTCTGAAGCTATATAGCCACAATAATATATTTGCAAGCCCTAAATGAAAACAAATTACAGTTTATTTCTTAAAAATATATTTCTTGAGTTATTCTCAATCTTTACCCAAACTTCCCCATCGCCTCTGTGCTAGGAGGCTCTTGTACAAGGATCGAGTCAATATAGCTCAGCTAGGTTCAAGGAGGAAGGAAAATGAGGACATAGTTTCTATTTCTCTCCTTCTTCAGAGGCTGCATATGCATGTTTGTGCTAATCTTTAGAATGCAACAGTTCCTAACACTGATAGCTGCTTTATGCAAGCTTCTCTCTCATTCTGTTTCCTATAGTCCTTTCTTAGATTCCTTTTGCTACTAGCCTCAACTATATTTTCTCAAGCTATGACCACCAGTCCTTTTGACTGTACACCACTTACATGCTTGGTAGAAATTCATTTCACTCTCTGCCCTGCAAGCCTCTGAATTTTGAAGCCCAGACCTGGATTGAAAATTTCTTTTGTTAAAGATTTCTGTCTCTTCCCCACCGCCGCCTCCCCTTAGAATTCTTAAATAAATAAATAAATAAATAAATAAATAAATAAATATATAAATAGAAAATTTCTTTTGGCTAGTTCATTCAGTGTGTTACTGAGGTTTTCACTGATGTGCCTGAGCCAGCGTTTTGCCCTTTGCTCTCATTGTTGCCTGTGTTACTAATCCCAGTAAAATACAAACCTTCTCAGTTTCTATTTGAGCATCTTCTCTGTGCCTCTTGAGAGCCAACTGACCTGTCTTTGTATTTCAATTTGTTTTGATTTTTCCAGCTGAACCTATGTAGAGTGATCTTCTTTTACTGTATTAATGTAAGCAAGTTCTTTTTGGTCACCCCTGTCCTCATCCCTCCCTCAATTCATTTCCTCTGAATTCCTTTCCTTTAGGTATACTCTGCAGCAGTATTGTCATTCTCCAGAGAGGAACATGTGTGATGTTTCCACAATTCTTTTTATGGTAACAGTAGTAAACATTGTAGTAATAAGAG